TAGAGATGTTTTAAAATCTTATGAGCTTTGACCTTCATATGCGCAGAAACATAATTCCGACCGTCGCCTAAATTATTCTACGTCCTAAAAACATTACACCTATTATTCACAGTCTCTCTCGAGCTCTAGCGTAAACAAGCCTTTGATCCGATTACAAATATCATAATAAAATGCCCTATTCTTTATTATTTTAATTAAAACAAGAAAAATATATATAACGAACGTTCGCCAGTTGACTTTATTGATGCCCGAGCGCCTTAGTTCATTTCTAGTTGTAATGAGGCACGTGTTCTAATTCCGAGTCAATGTTTTCACAATGTGTTTATTAGAAGAATTATGGGGATACGCCACGCCTTTCGCGCATTTCGCGGCTCATGAGATATTAAAAGATCTCTAAAATAATATTTATGAAAGACCTAAAATAGTCAACGCCTAATCAGAAGATGCCGTGTTTGATGGACCATCCGGAAACAAGTACGCAAAAATGAGTGCTTTATTTAATATAAGAATTTTAAAGATTTTGAAATATCATTTTTACCCGAGAAAACGAGATTAAAAAAATATACTTAAGGTCCTTAACATTTTAAGGAAGTAAAATTGTACTGGGATATTTTAAACTATAAGTTTATTTTCACCCAAATAAGCTCTCCTGGGCCTTTTGTTTTTGGATACACTGTATAGTTTCTTTATTTTCAGTTGTACTAGTATGTTATTTTCTTTATTGGAGTTTACTCATATAAAATATTAATTGATCAATAAATTGTCAATGTAAAACAGCTATTACGCAATACCGCCAATACCTAAAGTATTTAGGGACATACCGTTCCGTGAACATGAAATTAAAGAATTATCCCAAATCTTATAAAGCTACATTTCGTGTTCAGAGAGTGATGTAACATAAAACCCTGCTAATTATTATCTGTAAGTTCAGAGTGCTGTCACAAATTAAGAAAATTAGGAAAAAAGTTGGAATCGCTTCATTTTTTCTGGAATTCGTGTCCCCACCATTTAATTCACATAAAAGTAGTTACGAATTTCGTCATAACTTGAAGCAACCTTTTTATCTGTAGCCGTTGCTTCTTTTGCAGTTTGCTAGAACGTGACGGTTACTATAAACACTTTAACCTACCTTTATATTTTCAGTTTTTTTTGTTGAACTGCGAATTTGTATTCAAACCGTAATAAAAATTAGTGTGTAACTTTTTTTTCTTCGATAAATATGCTATTACATAACCTTATTTAAGCCATGGTGTCTTGAAAAATTATTTGATATGTCAGAAATTATGCTTTCTAATCGTGTAACTATAGTTAATCATAGGCAGTTTGAACAAACTCTCAAAGGATTTTTTTCTTAAAATTAACTCAGGAACGTACTTAGGAGTCAGCTTACATTTAACAACAGAAGACCGGATACCCCAAAACTTCCTCCTGAACATATTTTTGGGGACCCATAACTTTATAACGAAAAAAAATTATACCGAGAGGTCACGAATAAATCTAACAAATTTAAGAGCTATCTAAAATTAGCATTAATACTGTTGTAAGTATGTAGCATACTTTTTTAAAATGAATCTTAAAGTATTAGTGAAAGAATTTAAATTCGAGAATTTTGAATATCTTGTCCTCAGCTTTAAATATTTCGAAAAATAAAATGTTGATTTATGTTGCTAGTTTATTTATTACTAATTTAGACCGAGTTGCACCATTTCTTTCCATAAATTTCAATTTCAATATTATAAACAGTACCTACAAATGCATACCTATACCTTCCTTTTTATATAAAATTAATTAAGTACTCACCTGATACATGTTTATTACTTTTAATAGGTGTAATTTCCACCCATTCACAATTTACTGTAAAAATAAGTATAGTAAGGCAAAGGTGTGATTTCATTTTGTGTAATGTTTTGCTACTGGAAGACTACTTGTAGTGGATGACAATTATTCTAGCCTGGCTGTGCAGTTAGAAGTGAACAGAGCAGAAAATTGTATAGTGGAACTAAATATGGGGAAATAAAATCAGAAAATAATCCGAACGTTTTATTTTTAATTAAGTATTTTACAAATGAACTTATGGATTTATTACAGTGAGACTTAACTTATTTTATATATTATTAATGAAGTTTGTATCTGCCGGTTTTAACTTGTGTTGGACGAGTGTATACCATACATCTTGAAGTTGTGAAGTATCCCTGCAGACAAAATCGAGATTAAAATATTTTTATAAACGCCCGTGGTAAGTTTTACATATATCAGACAATTCTTAATTGACGATACTGTAGGAAACAACTACTCCGCGGATTAACGCTCCGAACAAATATATGAGTACTCCATAAGTTCTCCATTCTGCGAATTATATTTTACATTAAAAAAACATTAATAAGACAGACATATGTTATTCTTAAAATATTGTCACATACAGGTTGCAGAATTTATCTTATCCAAAAAAAAATTGAGAATGTTCAACATATGTGTACTTTAAAATAAACTTAAAGATAGATAGATCTGAGCAGTCTTTAAAATAAATAAAATTTTGTTACATTAATTTTGAAGAATTGCGGTACTTGATCACTATTACAAACATGAAATTTATAAAAAAAGTAGCACATACCTTATTACAAAAGCTGTTCGAAATTTTGTCCCTCGATGTACATATATTTGGGCACGCCTTATCCAATTTTGTCGTACTAAAGCGAATGTTCTTCCTGGTCGCTGTTGTAAATGCAAATTATTCGTGGCAGCTGTGATACGCTTGCGCAAATCCTCGACGGTTTTCACTTCGGTATACCTTATTTTTTAAATTGCCCTACAAAAAGAAGTCAAAAGGGTTTAAATCGGGAGACCATGGAGGCCGTGCTACCGATCCACCTTGTTCAATCCACCGTATTCCGTACACTTGATGGAGATAATCTCGAACAATCTAGCCGAAAGTGAGGTGTCCCATTATGTAAAAACCACATGCGTTGTTCGACAGCTAGGGGTACAATTTCAAGAAGGGCGGGCAGGTCATTGCAGACATTAGAGATATTGTAAACCATCCATACGATTGGGCAATAACAACGGCCTAATTAGGCGCTCATTAATAATTCCGGCCCAAATATTCAGTGAAAAACGGTGTTAGAAGTGATATCATTCAATTGCGTACGGATTTTCGAGTTCCCATTCTGGCCATGCACCTGCACAAGATGCACAGGGTCGGCTCATTTATGGTCAATTTTCTTAATTAATTTTTTCGAAAATAGAAGCATTTAAACCATCAGTTGTTTTAATAAAAGTTGTTCATTTTCGTGCCATCTATCACTATTTTCAAGGAACGCAATTATTTCAGAGACACACTGTATAGCTCCTGACAGAAAAAGAACACCTATCGATAGTCGGCAAGGATTTTAGTCTCTAACTAGTAACATTCATACTGGTATGCAATTTTCTACTCGCAATGACACCATCTTCATCAGTAACTCTTCTGAAATAAATGAGATATCTTCACATACACATAAGTTTATTTCAGTGACAAAATAACCTTTCACTTCATGAAGTATCTTACTCTTACCACTGGTGTTAAAACTGCCTCTTCATGGCATTTGATACAGTGGGTATAATGAAACGTATTGTTAGTAAGAAATATTAACTCGTTATAGTCTGCAGCACCCCATTACTCTTGAGACAGCGGTCCTCTAACCCTGCATTACACCTTTTTTCTTCTCAATTTTTTAGATACCTTCTTTCTGACCGTAGACCTCGTTCTTGTAACAAAACCGTTCCATTTGTGGATAGCAGTCAAATGATCCGTCACTTGGCATTTTTTAGTCGTCTGCAACACCACTCCTCTGCCGCCATATTCTGATTGTCCATTATGCTATCTTTATTCATGATTCGCCGTGCAAATTGCCTTCCGATCGTCTGTCATGCCAATTTCATCCGTAATTGCCTTGCCAATGTGACAAAATCGTTTTATTCTCCGATCGCCGCCTTATAAATATCCGCCACACAACTTCAATCCCCCATCGCCATCTTCAGGCGCTGTCTATAATGATTGTCATCGATGGTTGGCCTTAGCACTATGAAAAATAGCCGTCATGGAAAAATCTTGTCGTTGCCTCATAGCTGCCATCTGGTTGTTTGCTATACCATCTCTTTTCTGCTCAATTTTTTTCTCTATCTCCTTGGATAGTATCCTTTTGATTGTCTGCCACGCAATCTTCCTAAATAGTCTCGTTTTCGTAACAAAACAATTCCATTTGTGGGTAGCAGCCATTTGATCGTTGCTTGGCATCTTCCAGGATCACTTTACGCTTTGGAAAAACAGTTCCATTTTTGAAGAAAACCGTCGTCTTCTGATTGCTTGCAGCGCCATCTTTATCCATGATTCGCCATGCAAACATCTTTCTATTCTAATCGTCTGTCACGCCATTTTAATTTCCAAATCATTCATTCGTCTTCAAATCTTCCACTATGCTATCCATCATGATTGCTATCGATGGTTTTGCCACTGAAAAAAATCGTGTCATTCTTACATTTATGAACGTCTGCCTAACAATATTCTTACCTAATTACCTTGCCGAAAAAATATTTTCATTCCCTTATTGCTGTCATCTGACTGTTACTTTATCTTTTTCCTCTACTGCCTGTTGCTGTGAAACTACCTTGAAATGGTTTAGTTTCCGATCGCTACTTTTCTAATTGTTTGTCTTTCCTGACTTTCCTGATCACTTCACAGCTTCCTGTGCGTCCGCGTGCCAGCTATTCTCAGATCATCTCACCGCCGATCGCCATTTTCTAATCGTTCGCCATGCAACTTTAATCCCCCATCGTCGTCTTCAGATTGTCCACACTATGCTATCCATCATGATTGCTACTACCGATGGTATTGCCACTGTGAAAAAAAACTGTCATTCTCCCACTTATGGTCGTCTGCCAAACAATTTTTTTACCTAATTAATTACCTTGCATGGAAAAATATTATCATTCCTTCATCGCTGCCATCTGATTGCTACTTTTACTTGTTCGCCATGTCTATTTTTCGGATCATTTCGCAGCTTGCTGTTCATCCAAGTGCCAGCTTTTTCTCAGAGCATATAATCGCTAGAAACAAACCGTCCTATTCTACTATCACCTCCGTTACGCCATCTTAATCCCTGTCGCACCATCTCTGTTCCCGACCGATTCGCTGCCGTTGAAAATCCGTCCCATTTCCCGTCGCCGCCGTAAAAAAACCGTCCCATTTCCGGATAGTCCATCCCTCCTCGCCGCCGTGGAAATACCGTTGCAACCGATGACAATCGTCTCGTGATCGTCAGCTACGCCTACCCTAATCGCCTCTGATATTCTGCCCTGCTCTGTTCCCGACCGCTTCGCTGCACCTGAAAAACCATCCCATTTCCCATCGCCGTCGAGAAAAAACCGTCCCATTTCCGGATAGTCGCCACCTGTTTGTCCGCCACGTCTCTTCATCCCTGACCGCTTCGCTGCCGTGGAAAAACCGTTTCATCACAGGATAACCGTCTGCCACGCCTCCCCTGACTGCCTCGCTGCATCTGAAAAACCGTCCCATTCCCCGTCGTCGCCGTGAAAAAACCGTCCCATTTCTGCATAAGACCGCTTCGCTGCCGTGGAAAAACCGTTTCATCTCTTCTCACCGCTGTGGAAGGACCGCCAATCCCCGTCGCTGTCGTGGAAGCACGGTTCCATCTCAGGACAACCGATTCCTGATCATCCGCCACCATCCCAAGATAACTGCCTCCTGACCGTCCGCCACGTCTCCCCTGAGCGCTTTGCCGCTTCCCGATTGTCTGCCGCGCAATCTCTTTCCTGACCGCTTCGCTGCATCTGAAAAACCATCCCATTTCCCATCGCCGTCGAGAAAAAACCGTCCCATTTCCGGATAGTCGCCACCTGTTTGTCCGCCACGTCTCTTCATCCCTGACCGCTTCGCTGCCGTGGAAAAACCGTTTCATCACAGGATAACCGTCTGCCACGCCTCCCCTGACTGCCTCGCTGCATCTGAAAAACCGTCCCATTCCCCGTCGTCGCCGTGAAAAAACCGTCCCATTTCTGCATAAGACCGCTTCGCTGCCGTGGAAAAACCGTTCCATCTCTCCTCGCCGCTGTGGAAGGACCGCCAATTCCCGTCGCTGCCGTGGAAGCAGCGTTCCATTTCAGGACAACCGGTTCCTGATCGTCCGCCACGCCATCTCTGTTCCCAACCGCTTTGCTGCCGTTAAAAAACCGTCCCATTCCCCGTCGCTGCTGTAAAAATTAAAAAAAACTATCTATTTAAGGATACCTAGTGACCTCCTGATCAACCGCCACGTCCCTCCCGGCCTAGGAAAGACTGCAAATCCCCGTCGCCGACGTGGAAGAACCATTCTACCCCCGGACAACCGCCTCCTGAACGTCCGCCACGCTTTCCCTGATCGCTTCGTCCATCCCTCCTCGCCGTCTTGAAGGACCGCCAATCCCCATCGCCGCCGTGGAGGAATCATTCTATACCTGGAAACCGCCTCCTGAACGTCCGCCACGCCTCCCCTGATCGTCTCCTCCATCCCTCTTCGCAGTCGTTGAAGGACCGACAGTCCCCATCACCGCCGTGGAAGAACTGTTCCATCCTCGGACAACCGCCTCCTGATCGTCTGCTACGTCTTCCTTGATCATTGCCCCTCATACCACCTCTTCCGTTCCATTCCCGCTCGTTGCCTTGGAAGGACCGCCAATCCCCGTCGCCGTCGTGGAAGTAAGGACTACCAATCTCCATCGTTGCAGTGGAAAAACCTTTCCAATCCCTCTAGCCGCCGTGGAAGAACCGTGCCATTCCTGGAGAGTCGCAGTGGAAAAACCGTTCCATTCCCCCTCGTTGCCGAGGAAGGGCCGCCAATCCCTGTCACCGCCGTGGAAGTAGGGAATATCCGTCGCTGTTGTGGAAAAAGTGTTCCAATCCCTCTAGCTGCCGTGGAAGAACCGTTCCATTCCCGGAAAGCCGCCTCCTAATCGTCCGCCACATCTCTTCTGATCCCCTCACCAGTCGCTGACGTAGAAAAACCGTTCCAATCCCACTAATCGCCGTGGAAGAACCATTCCATTCCCGGACAGCCATGCTCCGCCGCTTCCTGATTGTTCCATTCCCGACTGCTACCATTCCACTCCCCGTCGCAGACCGCCAATCCCCGACGTCGCCGTGGAAGAACCAGTCCATCCCCGGATAGCTGCCTCCCGATTGTCCGCCACGCATCTCTATCTCCGACCGCTTCGCCGGTCGGGAGGAACCGTTTCATTCCCCGTCGCCACCTTGAGAGAACCATTCCATATCTAGATAGTCGCCTCCTGATCGTCCGTCACGCCTCTCTATCGTCGATCGCTTCGCTGCCGTGGAAAAACCGTTCCATTCCCCGTCGCCTCCGTGGAAAGCCTGCAAATCGCCGTCATCGCCGTGGAAAAACCGCTCCATTTCCAGATAGCCGCCTCCTGATCCGTCCGCCACGCCTCCCCGGATTGTCTCGCCATCTCCTGATTGCTCATCAAGCCGTTTCTATTCACGAGCGCTTTGCTGCCGTGGAAAAACCGTTCGATTCCCCGTCGCCACCGTAGAAGAACCGTTCCATTCTCGGATAGCTGTCTCTGATCGTCTCGCCACTGTAAAAAAATATATCATTTTATTCTTTAAATTATAATGGTCTCCTACAATTTTTTTACCTTATCGCCTTTAAAAATCAATAAATCCTCCAATTGCCGCGTCTTCTGATTGTGGGTCATGACTCCTACCATTGTTGAAACATCAATTAATTCCCGATTGCCCAGCTACCTTCTATTCGTCCGCGTCCACAATAAAAGTTCTTTCTCCAACCGCTTCGCCCGCTGTGGAGAAACCGTCCCATTTGCCGAAAGGGTCGCCGTCGTTGAAAAACCGCCTATTACCGGATAGCAATCCTGATTCACCGTCACGCCGTCTTCTTTGATCATCTTATCGCCGCCTTCTGAATGTCCTCCACGCCATCCCCATCGCCCGACCGCTTCGCTGCCGTGGAAAAACCGTTCCGTTTCCTGGATAGCCGCGTACCAATCGTCCCTAATCGCGTCTGAACGCCTACCACGCCATCTACATTTTCGACTGTTTCACTGCCGTGGAAAAACCGTTCCATTTCCCGTCACCGCCGTGGAAGACCCGTTCCATCCCTGAAAATCCGCCTATCTCCTAATGGTCCGCCGTGTATCTCTATCCCCAACCGCTTCGCTGCCGTGGAAAAAACCGTTTCATTCTCCGTCGTCGCCGTGGAAGAACCGTTTCATTACCGGATAGCCGACTTCAACCGATTTGCTGCGTGGAAAAACGTTCTAATCTCCAAAAACCTCTGATCGTTTTGCCACTGTAAAGAAAGATCGTTTTATTCTTGGACTTATGATCCTCTGTCTACCACAATTCTTACCCGATCGCATTTTAAAATCATTGTCTAATCGTCGCACATTCTGATTGTTGGCCAATACTTTATTGATCACCACGTCGTTGTTGAAAAATAGATTAACTTCCCGATCGCCTAGCTGCGTTCTAATCGTATGCGCCCGCAATAAAAAATCATTCTCTGACCGCCTCGCCGCTGAGGAAAAACCGTCCCATTTGTCGTCGTTGAAAAATTGTCCCATTACCGGATAGTAAGCCTTCTGATCCACCGTCAATCAGTCTTCTTTGACTATCTTATCGCCTTGCAATCGTCCGCTATGCCTTGCAGCCTTCTGAACGTCTGCCACACCATAGCTACATCTCCGACTTTCGCTGCCATAAAAAAACGTTTTTTTCCCGTCGTCGCCGTGAAAGAACCGCTCCATTCTCGTAGAGCCGCCTCATGATCGCTTCCAACATCTTCCTGATTGCCTCGTTGTGGAAAATGTTCTATTCCCCAGATAGTAGTTGCCTCCTGATCGTCTCGCCACTGTAAAAAAAATGTTTCATTGTACCACTGATGTTCGTCTATCACAATTTCCTTACCTGACCACCTTTAAAAATCGCCGCCCTTCTAATTATTTGTTGTGTCGTTGCCTCAATCGCCTCGTCGTTGTCGAAAAATCGAATCATTTCCGGATCGTCTAGTCACATCTAATCATTCGCGTCCGCCATAACAGCTGTTTTTCTGACTGCTGTGGAAAAAACCCTCCCAATTGTCGATCGCGTCGCTATCGTTGAATAACCGTCCCATTACCGGATAGCATCCCGGTAATTCATCGTCACGCAGTCTTCCTTGATCCGCTAGGCCGTGTTTTATCATTAATACTCCCCAGCCGTTCCATTCCTTTGATAACCACTTTCTGATCATTCGCCACGCCATTTGCCCTAGTCTCCTCGTCGCCTACCAATCAACCGTCACCTCATCTTCGCCCTTGAACCATCCCGTCCTCGTCAACAAAAGTGGCATACACGCAGACGGATAGGCGTCGCCTTCTGATTATTCGCTACGCCGTTTGCCCTGATCCCCTTGCCATTTGCAAATCGACCGCCACGTTATCTTCCCCCTTGAATCATTCCGCCCTTCTAAACGAATCGTGGATAGCCGTCTAATCCGCTATGCAGCCGGATAGCCACCCTGTGATCATTCGTCACGCTCTTTGCCCTTCTCGCCGTCTTCTAATCGACCGTCATCTTCGCCCTTGAATCAACTCGCTCCCGTAAACAAATTGTGGAAAGCCGCTTCCTGATCGTTCACCACGCAATTTTCGACTCCCGATCGTTCGCTATGCCATCTCCGCCGCCGATGGTCTTACCTATGCAAAAAAGGATCGTTACATTATCTGACTTATGACAGTCGGCCACACAATTTTCTTACCAGATCGCCCCGAAAAATCGTTCCATTCTCCGATTGCCGCCATGTTTTTTCTTCCTCGATTGCTCCTTCTACTTCACGAGAGCATTTTTTTGGACCACCTCGTTTCTGTGGAAAAACAGTCCCATTTTCTTATAACTTCGCCGTCGTTGAAAAACCGCAAGCCTTCTGATACATCATTACACCGTCTTTCTTGATCATCTCATCACCTTCTCATCGTCAGTCATGCAGTATTTTACCCCTAGCATGGAAAAAATTGTTTCATTATCCGTACAGCCGCCTTTTCATCCTCCATGCTATCTATTCTCGACCGCTTCCCCGACGTGGAAAAACCGTTCCATTCCGCAGATCGCCGCTCTTGATCGTCCGCCATCTAATGGCCTCTCCTCAACCGCTTCACTGCCGTGAAGAGACCGTTCTATTCCCCCGAAAATCGCCTCCGATCGCCCGCCACGTCATCGTCATCGATCGTTTTGGTCACTGCAAAAAAACGCTTAATAGTCCAATTTATGATCATATATCACATAATTTTCTTACCAAATCGCTTTTAAAAATGTTTCCATTTTGCCGTCACCGATTGTTAGCTATCCCTCAACCGTCACGTCGTAAAATAATCGATTCGGTTCCCAATCGTCGCCTGTTACTTTTTTCCCCAATTACGTTGCCGTAAATAAACCAGCGTTCCCCATTAAAGTATTTTCTCCGACCGCCTCGCCGCTTTTTTAACGTCTGCCATCTCTATCCGTGACTGCTTCCTCACCGTGGAAAAACCGTTTCATTTTCCTCTCTTCAACGCCGTCTTCAGATAGTCCGCCATAGTATTTTATTGCTACTGTAAAAAAAATCCGTCACGCCATCTTTTACCCCTAATGCTTCAGCTCTCGTGAAAAAACCATTCCATTCCCCAGATAGCCGCCTTCTGATCGTTCGCCAGGTCGTCGTCTGTTTTCTGCGTCGCTTTCTCTTCGACTACGTTATCTCTGCCTCTGGATCGTCATATCTCCGTCTTCTGATCATCTGCCACGAAACCTTTGTTGCCGATCGCCTCGCCACTATGAAAACATCGTTTCATTCTCTAACTTATGGTCGTCTGCCACAATTTTCCCTGGCCGCCTAGAGATATTGTTCCATTCTCCCATTTGTTCATTATGCCTCTTCTTCCTCGCTAGCTTCGTCGATTCAGTTCCTAATCGCTGTCTTTTAATTGTCCTCTTCGTTTTCTATTTCCCCATTCACCTAACCGACTTCTGATAGGCAACGGCCGTCATGACCGCCTCATCACTGTGGAAAAAGCGCCCGAATAGCAATCCTTCTGATCCACTGTCATGCCATTTTTCTTGATTGTCCACCATGTCGTCTTTTATTTATATCGCTTCCAGCTAGTTGCCGCCTTATCGACGGTTCATCATATCCACCCTTGGATTATCCCTTCGCTGTCGACAAAGTATTCCATTCCCAGATAGCCGTCTCCTGATCGTTACATCATCTCTATTTCTGACCACTTCGCCACCGGGAAAACCGTTCTATTGCCCGGATAGCTGTCTTCTAATCCACCATCACGTCTTCTTCGCTCTTCGATCATCTTGCCGCCGGCCGTCAATAAAACATTTCATTCCTCTGATAGCTGCCTCCTGATCGTACATTACACCATCTCTATCTACAACCACTTGACCGTCGTGGACCTGTTATTCGCATAACTGCCTTCTAGTTGTTTATCAACTCACTCCTTGGTTATCCTCTTATTTTCATTGACGTGAAAAAGTCTTCATCTTCTTGATTGTATAGCCGTCATCGGGTCGCCCGCCATATCATCTTTCCCTGATAGCCTCATCGCCCTGGAAAAACCGTTTCCATTCCCTGGATAGTCGCCTCTTGATCGTCCGTCAAATCATCTCTCCCAATCGCGTGCCATATTTCTTGATCGCTTCGTCTCGCCCGACCTCTGTGGAAACACCCAAACTTCTTTGATCGTCAACCATGCCATGTTCTCTGATCGCTTGCCTCCTGACCTGACCGTGTCTTCCATTCCTCGATCGTCCTCTTTTGATGATCCATCTCATCCTCCGCCACGTCATCTTAGCTCTTGAATCGTCCAGTCGACGTCAACAAACTGTTCCATTCTCTGATAGCAGATTTCTGATTGTCGGCCATGCCTTCAACAGAAAATTAATCATCGCATCTCTTCAGATTTCTCCACTCTATAGCTATCATTCAATCGTTATTTCTAGACCAATTTTTACACTACAAAGAAACAAAAAAAATGAGGTCTATTTCTTTACGAGGCTGTGTCCCATTATCGGATAGAAACCCGGTAATTCATTGGCACGTAGTCTTCCTTGATCCGCTAGGCCATGTTTTATCATTAACACTTCCCTCTCATGGAAAAACCGTTCCATTCCTTTGATAACCACTTTCTGATCATTCGCCACGCCGTTTGCCCTAATCTCCTCGTCGCCTACCAATCAACCGTCACGTCATCTTCGCCCTTGAACCATCCCGCCCTCGTCAACAAAAGTGGCTAGCCCCCTCCTGATCGTCTTACACGCAGACGGATAGGCGTTACCTTCTGATTATTCGCTACGCCGTTTAACCTGATCCCCTCGCCATCTGCAAATCGACCGCCACGCTATCTTCCCCCTTGAATCATTCCGCCCTTCTAAACGAGTCGAGGATAGCCATCTAATCCGCTATCCGCTTTTTGCCCTTCTCGCCGTCTTCTAATCGACCGTCATCTTCGCCCTTGAATCAACTCGCTCCCGTAAACAAATCGTGGAACGCCGCTGATTCTGATCGTTCACCACGCAATTTTCGACTCCCGATCGTTCGCTATGCCATCTCCGCCGCCGATGGTCTTACCTCTGCAAATAAATATAGTTACATTGTCTGACTTATGACAGTCGGCCACACAATTTTCTTACCAGATCGCCCCGAAAAATCGTTCCATTCTCCGATTGCCGCCATGTTTCTTCTTCCTCGATTGCTTCCTTCTACTTCACGAGAGCATTTTTTTGACCACCTCGTTTCTGTGGAAAAACAATCCCATTTTCTTATAGCTTCGTCGTCGTTGAAAAACCGCAAGCCTTCTGATCCATCATTACACCGTCTTTCTTGATCATCTCATCACCTTCTCATCGTCAGTCATGCAGCATTTTACCCCTAGCATGGAAAAAATCGTTTCATTATCCGTACAGCCGCCTTTTCATCCTCCATGCCATCTCTATTCTCGACCGCTTCCCCGATCGTCCGCCATCTCCTGGACTATCCTCAATCGCATCACTGCCGTGAAGAAACCGTTCTATTCCCCCGAAAATCGCCTCCGATCGCCCGTCACGTCATCGATCGTTTTGGTCACTGCAAAAAAACGCTTAATTGTCCGATTTATGATCATATATCACATAATTTTCTTACCAAATCGCTTTTAAAAATGTTTCCATTCTGCCGTCACCGATTGTTAGCTATTCCCCAACCGTCACGTTGTAGAATAATCGATTCGGTTCCCAATCGCCGCCTGTTACTTTTTCCCCCAATTACGTTACCGTAAATAAACCAGCGTTCCCCATTAAAGTATTTTCTCCGACCGCCTCGCCGCTTTTTTAACGTCTGCCATCTCTATCCGTGACTGCTTCCTCACCGTGGAAAAACCGTTTCATTTTCCTCTCTTCAACGCCGTCTTCAGATAGTCCGCCATAGTATTTTATTGCTACTGTAAAAAAAATCCGTCACGCCATCTTTTACCCCTAATGCTTCAGCTCTCGTGAAAAAACCATTCCATTCCCCAGATAGCCGCCTTCTGATCGTTCGCCAGGTCGTCGTCTGTTTTCTGCGTCGCTTTCTCTTCGACTACGTTATCTCTGCCTCTGGATCGTCATATCTCCGTCTTCTGATCATCTGCCACGAAACCTTTGTTGCCGATCGCCTCGCCACTATGAAAACATCGTTTCATTCTCTAACTTATGGTCGTCTGCCACAATTTTCCCTGGCCGCCTAGAGATATTGTTCCATTCTCCCATTTGTTCATTATGCCTCTTCTTCCTCGCTAGCTTCGTCGATTCAGTTCCTAATCGCTGTCTTTTAATTGTCCTCTTCGTTTTCTATTTCCCCATTCACCTAACCGACTTCTGATAGGCAACGGCCGTCATGACCGCCTCATCACTGTGGAAAAAGCGCCCGAATAGCAATCCTTCTGATCCACTGTCATGCCATTTTTCTTGATTGTCCACCATGTCGTCTTTTATTTATATCGCTTCCAGCTAGTTGCCGCCTTATCGACGGTTCATCATATCCACCCTTGGATTATCCCTTCGCTGTCGACAAAGTATTCCATTCCCAGATAGCCGTCTCCTGATCGTTACATCATCTCTATTTCTGACCACTTCGCCACCGGGAAAACCGTTCTATTGCCCGGATAGCTGTCTTCTAATCCACCATCACGTCTTCTTCGCTCTTCGATCATCTTGCCGCCGGCCGTCAATAAAACATTTCATTCCTCTGATAGCTGCCTCCTGATCGTACATTACACCATCTCTATCTACAACCACTTGACCGTCGTGGACCTGTTATTCGCATAACTGCCTTCTAGTTGTTTATCAACTCACTCCTTGGTTATCCTCTTATTTTCATTGACGTGAAAAAGTCTTCATCTTCTTGATTGTATAGCCGTCATCGGGTCGCCCGCCATATCATCTTTCCCTGATAGCCTCATCGCCCTGGAAAAACCGTTTCCATTCCCTGGATAGTCGCCTCTTGATCGTCCGTCAAATCATCTCTCCCAATCGCGTGCCATATTTCTTGATCGCTTCGTCTCGCCCGACCTCTGTGGAAACACCCAAACTTCTTTGATCGTCAACCATGCCATGTTCTCTGATCGCTTGCCTCCTGACCTGACCGTGTCTTCCATTCCTCGATCGTCCTCTTTTGATGATCCATCTCATCCTCCGCCACGTCATCTTAGCTCTTGAATCGTCCAGTCGACGTCAACAAACTGTTCCATTCTCTGATAGCAGATTTCTGATTGTCGGCCATGCCTTCAACAGAAAATTAATCATCGCATCTCTTCAGATTTCTCCACTCTATAGCTATCATTCAATCGTTATTTCTAGACCAATTTTTACACTACAAAGAAACAAAAAAAATGAGGTCTATTTCTTTACGAGGCTGTGTCCCATTATCGGATAGAAACCCGGTAATTCATTGGCACGTAGTCTTCCTTGATCCGCTAGGCCATGTTTTATCATTAACACTTCCCTCTCATGGAAAAACCGTTCCATTCCTTTGATAACCACTTTCTGATCATTCGCCACGCCGTTTGCCCTAATCTCCTCGTCGCCTACCAATCAACCGTCACGTCATCTTCGCCCTTGAACCATCCCGCCCTCGTCAACAAAAGTGGCTAGCCCCCTCCTGATCGTCTTACACGCAGACGGATAGGCGTTACCTTCTGATTATTCGCTACGCCGTTTAACCTGATCCCCTCGCCATCTGCAAATCGACCGCCACGCTATCTTCCCCCTTGAATCATTCCGCCCTTCTAAACGAGTCGAGGATAGCCATCTAATCCGCTATCCGCTTTTTGCCCTTCTCGCCGTCTTCTAATCGACCGTCATCTTCGCCCTTGAATCAACTCGCTCCCGTAAACAAATCGTGGAACGCCGCTGATTCTGATCGTTCACCACGCAATTTTCGACTCCCGATCGTTCGCTATGCCATCTCCGCCGCCGATGGTCTTACCTCTGCAAATAAATATAGTTACATTGTCTGACTTATGACAGTCGGCCACACAATTTTCTTACCAGATCGCCCCGAAAAATCGTTCCATTCTCCGATTGCCGCCATGTTTCTTCTTCCTCGATTGCTTCCTTCTACTTCACGAGAGCATTTTTTTGACCACCTCGTTTCTGTGGAAAAACAATCCCATTTTCTTATAGCTTCGTCGTCGTTGAAAAACCGCAAGCCTTCTGATCCATCATTACACCGTCTTTCTTGATCATCTCATCACCTTCTCATCGTCAGTCATGCAGCATTTTACCCCTAGCATGGAAAAAATCGTTTCATTATCCGTACAGCCGCCTTTTCATCCTCCATGCCATCTCTATTCTCGACCGCTTCCCCGATCGTCCGCCATCTCCTGGACTATCCTCAATCGCATCACTGCCGTGAAGAAACCGTTCTATTCCCCCGAAAATCGCCTCCGATCGCCCGTCACGTCATCGATCGTTTTGGTCACTGCAAAAAAACGCTTAATTGTCCGATTTATGATCATATATCACATAATTTTCTTACCAAATCGCTTTTAAAAATGTTTCCATTCTGCCGTCACCGATTGTTAGCTATTCCCCAACCGTCACGTTGTAGAATAATCGATTCGGTTCCCAATCGCCGCCTGTTACTTTTTCCCCCAATTACGTTACCGTAAATAAACCAGCGTTCCCCATTAAAGTATTTTCTCCGACCGCCTCGCCGCTTTTTTAACGTCTGCCATCTCTATCCGTGACTGCTTCCTCACCATGGAAAAACCGTTTCATTCTCCTCTCTTCAACGCCGTCTTCAGATAGTCCGTCATAGTATTTTATTGCTACTGTAAAAAAAAATCCGCCACGCCATCTTTTACCTCTAATGCTTCAGCTCTCGTGAAAAAACCATTCCAATCCCCAGATAGCCGCCTTCTGATCGTTCGCCAGGTCGTCGTGTTTTCTGCGTCGCTTTCTCTTCGACTACGTTATCTCTGCCTCTGGATCGCAATGTTTCCGTCTTTTGATCATCTGCCGCGCAACCTTTGTTGCCAATCGCCTCGCCACTATGAAAACATCGTTTTATTCTCTAACTTATGATCGTCTGCCAAACAATTTTCTTACCTGGTCGCCTAGAGATATTGTTTCATTCTCCCATTTGTTTACTATGCCTCTTCTTCCTCGATCGCTTCCTTGATTCAGTTCCTAAGTGCTGCCTTCTAATCGTCCTCTTCGTTTTTTATTTCTCCATTCATCTAACCGAATTCTGATAGGCAACGGCCGTCATGACCCTCTCACCATTGTGGAAAAAGCGCCCGAATAGCAATCCCTCTGATCCACTGTCATGCCATTTTTCTTGATTGTCCAACATGTCGCCTTTTATTTTTACCGCTCCCAGCTAGTTGCCGCCTGATCGACGGTCACGTCATATTCACCCTTGGATTATCCCTTCGTTGCCGTCAAAGTATTCCATTCCCCAGATCGTTACATCATCTCTATTTCTGACCACTTCGCCACCATGGGAAAACCGTTCCATTACTTGGATAGCCGTTTTCTGATCCACCATCACGTCTTCTTCGCTCTTCGATCATCTTGCCGCCGGTCGTCAATAAAACATTTTATTCTTCTCATAGCTGCCTCCTGATCGTCCGTTACATCATCTCTATCTCCGACCACTTGACCGTCGTGGAACTGTTATTCCCATAACTGCCTTCTAGTTGTTCATTAACTCATTCCTTGGTTACCCCGTTATTTTCATTGACGTGAAAAAGGCGTCATCTTCTTGATTGTATAGCCGTCATCGGGTCGCCCGCCATATAATCTTTTCCTGATAGCCTCATCGCTCTGGAAAAACCGTTCCCATTCCCTGTATAGTCGCCTCTTGATCGTCCGTCAAATCATCTTTCCCAATCGCATGCCATATTTCCTGATCGCTTCGTCTCGCCCGACCGCTGTGGAAACACCCAAACTTCTTTGATCGTCAACCATGCCATATTCTCTGATCGCTTGCCTCCTGACCGTCTGTTCCATTCCTCGATCGTCATCTTTTGATGATCCATCTCGTCCTCCGCCACGTCATCTTAGCTCTTGAATCGTCCAGTCGACGTCAACAAACTGTTCCATTCTCTGATAACAGTTTTCTGATTGTGGGCCACGCCTTCAACAGAAAATTAATCATCGCATCTCTTCAGATTGCTCCACTCTATAGCTATCCTTCAATCGTTATTTCTAGACCAATTTTTACACTACAAAAAAAACAAAAAAAAATGAGGTCTATTTCTTTACTAGGCTGTGTACAATTTACCTTTTTATTTTGATGACTTGAACCAACATTACTGTAAATAAACATTCTTAGTTAGATTTTAAACAATGCTCTAATCCTTTTATGGTTTAATAATTTTTAAGTCAAGACGGTCTTTAATATCATATACAAGGGTGCTAGACTGATCATTTGCAATCCTAAAAAATGTAAAAATGAAAAGAAATCATTTGAAATTAAACTATTAAACTTACTTTTTATTTTAAGCGATTACCCTTTTACGATTATACTTCATAATTTTAACATATCATTCCAAATGGTTAATAAAAATATATGTAATCTTTTACTGATCTGTTACTTTTCAGTGTGTAAGTCGTATAATTCGTCATTTTAAGTTTTCGATTTTCTAAACTTAATACTTTTTTTGATAGCTTAGTTTTCTCTAATTTCTTTTCTGTTTTATGGATATAAGAACACAATCTTGAGAGAATAACTGGATTTCTGCCGTTTCGATCGACATAATTTTTCTTTACATTTTACTTTTAAATAAAGATACTTAAAACTCTTCACTTCTTTCTTTTTATGTTTAATGTATGGTATTTATAAATAACAATTAGTAATCTAGTATATTAATGTGCACAATTCAACGAAAAGTAAGTTCGTAATATAATACATCTAAGCAAATTATACAGAAATTGCCTGAAGAGTTACTATCGCATCATATAAGCTCTAACAGGCAGATGTTAGTCTCCAGCTTGAATATATTTAATACAAACAGCATTATATGTTATCTAAATTATTTAAAACTACTAGATGTACCTTTGTTGGTTGAACATTCATTGGAGATCAGAGATGTCTGAAACATACATATAAAGAAGCAAATTTGTCAATTGTTAAAGGATTTTCAAACCAATGTGGACATCCTGCTCGAAATATTAGATACTTTTCCAGATACTTTTCCGTTTAATTTTCTTAAACATTCAATCTTTTTCTATTATAAAAAAACAGGGATAATTCAAATGCTGGAAGAATTTGTATTTTTTACAACCATATCAATAATATTGTGTAAGTCACGTCATTTTCCTATTTATTAGAAACTCGATCTGAAACAAATTGAATTTTTCCAGACAACTGACCTTTTTCTTTACTCCAATTGTGACGTTGAAAAATTCCTAACCATCTTTTTGATAAAACAGATTTTCACTTCCTTTTTCTTCACGTAATAGATCTGAAACAAACCATTTTTTCAAGAACTGACCTTTTCCCGTGGCATTCCTCTTGTTCAGAAATCTCATGCATGATTAACGGCAATGTGGGAAATATTTGGTATGATCGCATTCATATCCTTTTTCGTTGGATAATACTGGTTGGATAATTTTCTTTTGGAGATTATATGAATGTTATACGTATGATGATGCAAGGTAATCAAAAACCTATACTTATGTTATCAGCTTCCTCATAAGATTCATTTTCTATTTCGTAAGATAGGTACTTCTTAATCTGAAACAATCTGCATTTTCCAAAAAAATTGACGTTTTGTGTTACCACGTTCCCCCCCCCCAAGTTCAAAAGTTCACTCTTCTTCCAGTCTTGGCACGTGTCCGTTTTATTATCCATTTCTTTAGATATCTAATCTGAAACTGTATTTTCCAAAAGAAAAAATGGAACGTTTCTATCACCACCGACTTCAGTTTTCCCCATTTAGAAGAACATTTGTTTTCGAAATGACTTAAGAACTCCAATGCAACTTCAATTTTTCTTTAATCTGAAATTTAAGAAACTGCATGTTTTAGGTTAGAGTGTGATGTATACAAATCTGCGTCTTTTTGTATTGGTTTTCATGTCTCTTTTCTTTTAGACAACTAATCTGAAACAACTATTTTTCGACCTTTTCCCACTAGTTTCTTTTTTTTTTTTTTGATAATTGTGTTTAACAACGAAGGGTGAAACATTTGCAGCTTTCTTGGTAAGATCATTTTCATCTCCTTTGTTGGATACTACTTGAAACAAACTACATTCTTCCAAAGAATTAACTTTATTACTGATGTCGCTATTCCTTTGTTTTTAGATCTGAAACAAACTGAATTTTTTCAAAACCTGACCTTTTTACCATTGGTGTCGTCGTCGTAGTCCTGTAGAAGTGTAGAACGTTTGTTTTCCAAGTGTGACGTGAAAAGGCTTGCTTCTTTTTCCCGTTATTATTTTTCCTGTTCTTTGCATACTTTGTCTGAAATACATTGCATTTTTTCGAAAACTGACCTTTTCTTTTACCACTGGTGTCTTTGCTTTATTTAGGATGTTTGATGTTTGTTTTACAAGTACAACGTTGTGTGCCCTTTTTCTAGTCTTGATAGTAGTCTTTCATTTTCCTACAGTTCTTTGGATACTTGACCTGAAACAAACTTGCAATTTTCCATAAAACTGACCTCTTTATCCATTGCCTTCATTTCTTCTTTCTGATGAAGAGCGATGTTCAGAAATGTTCATCATCCCATCTCCCATCCCATTATAACACTGATTTTCATGCCTCTTTTCTTTAGACAACTGATCTGAAACAAACTGGATTTTCCAAAACAACATTTGTTTTTCAAGTGACGTTAAGTACTCCGTTTTTTCCAGTCTTGACAAGTACAATTTTTATTTTTCTTTTAGATTACCGACCTAAAACCTAAACTATCTACGCGTTTTACGATGCAATGTGATGTATACCACTGATTTCGCTGTTCCAATGTTTTTAGATATTTGATCTGAAACAAACAGCATTTTTTCCAAAAAAACTGACCTTACCACTGGTATCATCGTCGAGGTCTTGTGCAACGTATGTTTTCTAAATGTTACGTTAGAACGCCTGCTCTATTTCCCCATCTTTACATCCAGTTATTATTTTTCCTGTTCGTTCTTTGGATACTTTATCTGAAACACATTGCATTTTTTCGAAAACTGACCTTTTCTTTTGCCATTGATGTCTTTGTTTTATTTAGAAGGAAGTTTGATGTTTGTTTTCCACGACGTTGAAAGGTCTGCCCTTTTTCCAGTCTTGATAGTAATTTTTCATTTTCCTCCAGTTCTTTGGATACTTGATCTGAAACAAACTGCATTTTTCCAGACAACTGACCTCTTTATCCATTGCCATCATCGTGGTCTTGTAGAGCGCTTGTTTTCCGTGAAGGCCTGCTTTTTTCTCATCTTCATATGTCCGTTATTATTTTCCCTGTTCTTTGGATACTTTATCTGAAACACATTGCATTTTTCTCGAAAACTGACCTTTTCTTTTATCATTGGCGTCTTTGTTTTATTTAGAAAGATGTTTGATGTTTGTTCTCCAAGTACGTCGTTGAAAAGTGTGTCCTTTTTCTAGTCTTGAGTCGTTTTTCATTTTCCTCTAGTTCTTTGGATAGTTGATCTGAAACAAACTGCATTTTCCAGACGACTGACCTCTTTATCCATTGCTTTCATTTCTTCTTTCAGATGAAGAGCGATGTTCAGAAATGTCCACCATCTTTTTCATAACACTGATTTGCATGCCTCTTTTCTAGAGACCATCGATCTGAAACAAACTATTTTCCAAAAGAAAAAAATTGAATGATCGTATCACCGCTGGCTTCAGCTTTTCTTATTTATAAGAACATTTGTTTTCCAAGTGACGTTAAGTACTCCGTTTTTCTCCAGTATTGACAAGTACAATATTCATTTTTCCTTTTTTCCAGATTACTGATCTGAAAATTAAACTACGCGTTTTACGATGCAGTGTGATGTATACCATTAATTTCGCTGTCCTTATGTTTTTCCAAAAAACTGACCTTTTACCACTGGTATCATCGTCGAGGTCTTGTACAACATATGTTTTCCAAGTGTGACTTTAGAAGGCCTGTTCTTTTTTCCGTCTTTTCATCCCCGCTATTATTTTTTTCTGTTCTTTGGATACTTTATCTGAAACACATTGCATTTTTTTCGAAAACTGACCTTTTCTTTTACCACTAGTGTCTTCGTTTTATTTAGGATGTTTGATGTTCGTTTCCCAGTACGAAGTTGAAAAGTGTGCCCTTTTTCTAGTCTTGAGTGTCGTTTTCCATTTTCTTCCATTCTTTGGATACTTGATCTGAAACAAACTGCATTTTTCAGGACAATTGACCTCTTTATCCATTGCTTCCGCTTCAATTTTCTTTTCGGATTGTATCTGAAACAAACTGCATCTTTCCAGAGAGCTGACCCTTTTCTCCCACTGGTTCAATTTTTTTCTATTCAAAAGCTTTGTGAATGTTATATGATGAATCATGGTATTGAAAAATTTATATTTCTATCAGTCTCCTGGACTTGATTAATTCTTTCCGTCCAGATATTTAAACTGAAACAAACTACATTTTTTCCAAAAAATAAATTGCCCTGTTACCATTTGTTCCCGCTTTTCTTGTTTAGAAAAAACTTATGGACCCGTCTCAAAATTATTCCAGAGTGGGTTGAATCCTAAATTGGTTTTATTTCTACCCTCCAACGGGGACCTCGTATTTAAAGATTTGATCGACTTGGATTAGCTAAAACAGCTCAAAATTCCCCCTCCCAAACTGTAGATATAAGAAATAAGCATATATTCGCAGAAAACAGATAAATACACATATACAGTACATCTTTAAAAAGTAAAGCTTATTTCTAGCAGATTAACAAAAAAAGTGATGCTTACAACGAAGATAATTTTTGTTCTGATACGTTTTATATCCATTATAGTTTTTCCTGGAACACAACCTCCTGAGTAACCGACCTTTTCTTGGTAATTCCCTTAATATATTAGGCAATGTGTTTTTTAAAGCTTCTTCCGTTATGAGAACGCTCATAATGTGGGCAATATCCAAGTAATTCTATCATATTTACAGGGAAATTAAATGAACCACCTTGTGCTTCTTTTATTTTGACTGTATCATTTGTAGTTTGTTACAGTTAACAAATTACAAATTCTAAAAAACAGAATTAGCTACCCTACTACTATACACCGACCTTTTTTGAAACTTTCCAGCGACTTTATGCGTTCAATTTGGCTAAGAACAGAACATGGTTTCCACCCCCCTTTCTCACCTCAAAAAAATATTTTATAGTAGACCTTTTCACTTTAATTTATACTTTTTAAATTGTCACGTTTTTTCTCTTCATAATATTCTTCTAGAATACATTTAAATGGTCAGTTAAGGATGCCAATTTTCTTGTTGCGGGAAAGTAATATAATAGCGATCGAGATGCAGAGTCTGGGACTTCTCATTTCAAACGCAAATTATCTAAAACATAGTATAATTTTCCCCCTCCCCTGCCATAAACAATTTGCAACAAACGTTGATGTTGTGCTAGGTAGAATAAATAAATATTACAAAGCAGTATTGTAATGTACCTGTGAATTTTTAACTGTAACACAAACTGACCTGCTCCCTTGCTATTTAAGAATAGGAAACTCATTTTGGATGAAGTAAACTATAGGTATCACACAAAATTTAAAATTCTCAGATCTTGAATAAAACTTGGTTTCCTTAAAATGAATATTATAGTATTGATAAATATGCGAAATTTATTTTTAGATTTAATTATATAGATACACTTTGAATTGTCCTTTCCATTCTTCTTTTCATATTTTTTAAGTAGTGGTGAAACTATTGTCACTTTAATGGCCAACCTTCTAAAACACAGAAAACCTACTCGCTACTTCCTAACATATGATAAACATTCGAAATTATGGTTGTAGTGGTAACATACATTTTGAGTCATCTTAAAAATTTAAATATTTAAAAAATGTGTTGCCTCTTACTAATAAATATTTTTTCATTGTCACTGTTAATCCTGTCCGTTATTCTTGAAAAAAAGACACACCATTTTCCTTCTGAAATAGTAACCAACCTTGCTTATTGTTTCAGAATTGTAGAGGAAGTCTTCCATATCTTGGCATAATAAAGTACATTTTCATAGCAGGATCCTGTTCCCCCAACTTGGAATATTGCAGGCTAAAACTGGGGTCTAATTTCTCTATTTCTGTATACCGACCTTGGAATATGTATCTTAGCTCATTTCTAAAAAGTAGAAGTTGCGCCGGCTGATTGGCTATTTTCCCAATTTTTAATATTTTGACAAGAATAGTGGGTCATCTTTTCTTCAGGATTAGAGGATACTTTTTGTTCAAAATCCAAACTGAAGGCTTCCATTTCCAAAAAAGGACAATTATTTCCTTGCAGATATTTTCACCAGTGAAGGAACTTAGTCTGCTGTTGTTCTGTTGATTTCTGGTTGAAGTTCCTCTCAATTTTAAATTTGTATGAGTAGTTAACCTATTAATGAATGCAAGTTCCTACATACCGACCTGTCCCAAAATAATTCTGAAGAGGTTGAATCCAAAACTGGTATTAGTTCTAGCGTTTAAGGTGCACCACACATCTAAAGATTTGAATGACCTGGGTTGTCTAAAACAGCTGAGAATTTCCCCCTCCCAAACTACTAGATATAACAAATAAGCATAATGGCAGAGATTTGCTATTGGTTTGCGCAAAATATGCAATACAAATAAACAACTTCAAAAAGTAAAGCTTGTTTGTAAAAAAAGTTGCTTACAGTGCCAGCATAAGACTATTCTATCCATAACAAATATTCAGACTATATTCCTTATAGTTTCTCCTGTAACACAACCTTCATTTTTCCAAGTAATTGATCTTTCTTTTCCTTTTGGTAATTTTCGTAATATATTAGGCGGTTGTTAATTTCTTTTAAAACTCCTTCCGTTCTAAGAACGCTTATAATGTGGGCAATATCCGAATAATGTTGGATCATTTGCAGTTTATTTTGCAAGTTAAAGATTCTGAAAAACAAAATTAGCTTCCCGGCGCCTATATACCAACCTTTGACTTGAGACTTTCCAGTGATTTTACTTGCAAATTTGTCTAAAAACAGAAAAGTTCGTCACCCCAGTTCCCACCCCCTACCTCAAAAATAATTATGGTACCGACCTTTTTATTTGAATTGATAATTTGTAGGATGTTACTCTTCAAAAATTGTCATTGTTTTTCTTCTTAATTATGCTTCTTCAAACACATTCAAACAGTCAACTAGGCAATTAAAATTCACAATGTACCGATCTTATTGTAATTTATTTTAAATGACGATTATCTAAAACATGGTATAATCTCCTCACAAATTTTTTTTTAGCACAACGCTGATGCTGTATCAAAGGATAAAAATAAAAAATACACGTAAATATTACTAAACAGTATTGTAATGTATTAGTAAATTTTTACTTACAACTGACCTAAACTTGGTGATTAAGAATAGATAACTCACTTTTGAAATGAATTAATGGAGAAAACTACCAAAATTAGAAATTTTCAAATCTTGAATAAACATCTGCTTTCCTTAAAAAGAATATTATAGTACTGATAAATATACAACATTTACTTTTATATTTAATTGAATCCTGCTTTTTATTCTTCTTTCTAGATATTTTCGCTAGTGCTGGTGAAGTTATGTCCAGTTTAACAATTAACCTTCTACAACAGAAAATTGCTTCCCTGCTTCCTAACTTATAACATTGGCGGTAATGGTAATATACTGTCTCCCTTATCAATATAAAAAATCTATTGGATGCTTACTAGTAACTGATTTTTTCATTTCTGTTGGTATTGGTATAGGTATTGCTTCAGTATTGTGAATAGTCTTCCATATCTTGGCAGAATGAAGTTCATTTTCACGACAGCATCGAGTTCCCCTCCAGTATTGGGAATAACTAAAACTGAGACCTAATTTCTCTACTTTTTATACCGACCTTTCAATACTTTAGCATATTTCCGAAAAGTAATGTAAAAAGTTGCACATCCCGATTAGTTAAATGCATATTATAGATTTTAAAAATGTGCGGCACTTATTTTTATATTTATTTATACGTAGATACTCTTTGAATCGTCCTTTCCATTCTTCCGTCTATATTTTTTAATGAGCAGTGGTAAAAGTTTTGTCCAGGTTAAAGACTAACATTCTAAAACATAGAAAACTGCTTCCCTCCCTCCTAACATAATATACAAACTTATGGTGGCGACTGTTTCAAATAACAAAATTTTAAATATTTAAAAAAAGGTGTTGATGCTTACTAATACATGTTTTTTCCATTGTCATTGTACATACTGTCTTTTTTCCTTCTCAAATCAAAACCTTTTTGTTCAACTAACCGACATTTCATCGCGCTATTTAATATTGTTAGAGTATTGTGGATGAAGTCTTCCACATCCTGGCAAATTAAATTTCCATAGCAGTGTCGAATTACCTCCAATTCAGAATATTGGAAATACCTATCTAAAATTGAAACCTATTTTCTCTGTTTTTGCATACCGACCTTTCAATTTTTTAGTATGTTATAAATGAATATCATTTCCATTCTTCTTTCTCTATTTTTTAAAGAGCAATGGTGAAAGCTTTTGTCCAATTTAACTACTTTCTAAAACAGAAAACCGCTTCCTTTTTTCCTAACATATGATAATATTTACATAATATACATTTTCAGTCATCAAAATTTAAATATTTAGAAAATGTGTTGGATGCTTACTAATAAATGTGATATTTTCATTGTCATAGATATTGGTTTTATTCATTAACGGAAACATAGGTTTTCCTTCTGAAATCAAAAACTTTTTGTTCAACTGACCTTTCGTTTCAGCTATTTGAATATTGCGAATGAAGTCTTCCATATTTTCCATATCAAAATAAGTAAATTTTCATAGTAGCGTCGAGTTACCTCCAACTTGGAATATTGCGATTAACTAAAATTGAGACAATTTTTCTACTTTTGGATACCGACCTTTCAATTTTTTAACATATTTCCGAAATACAATGTAAAAAGTTGCACTGCCCGATAGGTCATTTTCCGTTTTTTAATGTTTTGAAGAGTTCCGTGGATCATCGTTTTTCAGGATTAAATCTAGTCTAAAACAAATTTGAATAATGTCCCTCCCAAAATGTCCATTTTCTCAACATAAAGCTCGAGGCATTGAAAATCTGCAAGATACTATTAGATGGATGGCACATTTTAAAGACAATACTTAAAACGCAGAGTTAAAGGTCGCGTTACTGACGAATTTTGTTGCGTGTGATTGACTAGCACGTCCTGGACTACTTTTCACTCAATAAACTACTATTTATGAGCTTCATAAAATGGAATAAAAATTTTCAGTCACAGTATTGCTTCAACTGTGTTGTTTTAATGTATACTTTCTAAAAGTAAATATTTGTTCATCCTACACCTACAAAATAGGGTTAGGCAAAAAAGAAATGTAAATTTATATTAAGTATTGAAAAAATAGTTAGGTTTTATTGTTTGTAACTTACTTTTTGGTACCTAGGTGGTATTCCTTCAAATATCCAATATTTTGATTGGTATGAATATAGAAAAGTGGATTATATGTATCTTTTAACATATTTTGATAATGAAATTATAATTTATCTAGCAACTGCTTAGTTAAAAGAATTTACTCCGTATCCCATTTGGAAAAAAAGTTTTATATCGTTTTTTTTGTGCAAATTATGCTGGAAAATTGTATTTACGATCCTTCATGTCAAATTTATAAATGGATAGGTACTCACATTTTGTTAAAAGATGATCCAAATTAATCTTCTTCCTTTTTTTCAATGTTTTAAATAATTAATTTAACATAACATGCAGATGAAATTACTTATAATTATAAGTACTTAAACTGATATTTGAATAGTTTAAAATACTGACTTTGGGTTTCATTTTTTCCTGGCCTCTTCTACTTTCCTTCATGAAACTATCTTCACCTTTTTTAATTAAGCAAAACTATTTTTTATGCAGTTTGAAATACTTATGTCGGATTATTTTCCCGAAACATGAGTAGTAACTTTCTTCATCTTCAAAGTGACTATCTTTTTATCGATAAAACTTCATTATAGCACAAAAAGTAAATTAGTTGAAAGTAATGCATATTTGACAAGTTAAGAGTTATTAGAAAAACTTTCTTTGTTAGGGCGTTGGCATTATCCTGTGGTAATTTTCAAAAGAAAACAAAAGCTAAAAATGCATTTTCCTTTACCTACTAATAGAGTCGAATACGTTTCAAAGAAGAAGGGTTAGACAGATTTACTAAAATTAGTAACAAACCTTTTAAAGCAGTTACTTATCCGTTCCTGTGCAGTGAAACAGCTTAGTTCCAATACCACGATTTCCTAAATCCATCGAGTAAGTACCATGCATACAAGCACAAACACAGACCTTAGAGCAGGAGACTAGATAATCACCAAAACAATTTTAGTAGTGACCTAGTGGAGCTGTGCGAAACCGTTTTCCTTATGCATCAATAAAGAAACACTTCAATGACTCTTTCATACAGATATGATTATAGGTAAAGGATAATTTCTCTCATTTTCAATGTTCAGTACAATTTCATAATTCGTTTAGGTGAGAAAAATATGTTTTGCTATGCGGGCTACTTTTCACAATCAAAATTAATTTTCTGTAAAAGAAAAAATGCAACTATAATTCGACATCTTTTCAAAAATATTGCTATTTATGCAAGTGATAAAAACTTGTCATTGTTTTCATCTGCCAAGTAAGTTTATTTAATTAATCTATCGTCACTTTCTCATATGCATATGCATGTTTTTTGTGAGACAGATATAGATTTAGCTTTCAAATAAACTTATTAGGAGGTGAAAACAAAACTAGCCTTAACGTTTAATTTTCAAATAAAAAAGGCGTCACATACACGATGTCCCGAAAAAAATGAACCACGCCTCAAGGATAACTTTGGATAAAAAACTGATTTATATGAAGTTATCTTGGTGTAATTTTGCTTCTTACAAGTATTTTTTTGCTTTCTATTTTTTAACTACGTTCTTTTTAAGATATTGGTATTGGGAAAATTTTAGAATAGCGGGAAAATCAAACCGAATTTTCCTCCATCAACAAAAGCTTTTAAGAATGTATTAATAATATTGTTTTTCGACACATTTCTCTATTTGGAGAGATTTTAAGAAAATGTAGGTGATTAAGAAATGCCATTTTCTTCACTATAAAAAAAGGTAAACGCGTTCTTAAATCGTTTTAGAGAAATATTGATTTCAATTTTTTAATGAAGTTTTGTTAATTGAATATTTGAAGTCTAACCAAGGCACAAATTTAGCAAAAGTGTGAAGTTTAATTAGATTAGAATACTTTTGGCTCTCCATAACTGCTGCAATAGAAAAATTAAATTTATTTTTCTCTCAAACAAGCATACCTTTTTAGTCAATAAAGTGACGTTTCATAAAACATTTTCTGTATTTTCTTAAAATTTGTACCAAGAAAAATAATGGCAAAAAGCAAAGGTAAAAAATGATTTTCTTTGGCTATCTCAAAAATTCTCTTAAGTTTAGTTTAATTATTTTAGTGATGAAAGTGGTTATTTTTTAAAAAGGCAGAAGTGCACCAAGGTAATTTGATATAAATATTTATCGGCATCCAAAGAAGCCACCCTTGAAGGATGGTCCATTGGGTTCCAGACACCCAGTACATAACAATTATAATTCACAATTCAATTTAACCTTCTTACAGTTTCAATAATATTAAAATATTGCTTTTAACAATTAAAAAATAACCAGCAAAAAAAATTAAATTGAATTTTATTGTTAACAATTTATTTTTTGTTAAAAAATTATTTAATTTATAGTTTCACGCAAAACTTTAATATACAAGGTGTCCCGAATTATACAGTTTTACATGATAACAGAACTTCAAAATAAGAAAAAGCATTTCCAAGCATGAAGAAAATAGTTCTCGAGACACAGGGTGTTCAATTTCAAATTCCTGGAAGAGGTTTCCTTTAAATATATTCAAAACTCCTAAAAATAACGAGTAAATATTTACACGTGTATTTAACTGTATATTCTATACAATATGACAACCGTGATTCAAAACCATTCAGCAACAATGTTTCACTAATTTAGCATTAGAACTAAATGTAAAACTTTTGAATAAAAAAATGTCGTTACGTTTTTCTTTTTGAGATTACCCATTCTCAAAGAGCATTTTATATACTTGAAAAAATATCCCCAAGATTATTGTTTATCTTTAGGACATATATTGCAAAAAAAACTGCACAAAATCATTTTCAAGAGTTTCAACTTGAATACCCTCTATCTCAAAAACTAGGCATTTCACGAGCATTATTTATGAGAACTTTGAAGAGTTCTGTTACCAGGTTAATCCTTATAATTCAAGACATTCATTATTTTCAATTTCAAATAAAATGATTATAAATTTATTTACCTAATCAGTATTAATTTCAAGTTATACAGGGTGTCCCAGAATATGTGGATAATCTCTCAGATTTTATACAGAGGACACAAAATATCATGACAAGTTCCTATAAAAATTTTCCCTACAGGCCCCTCTAACGGAGATACAAGCCCCTAAAGGACACCCCTTAAAAAACATTTTTTTTAAAATAACCATTAAAATACTGTGTACATACAGTATTTTAAAGTTAATAAAAAAAATACATTTTCAGGGGCGTTCTTGACGGGGGCTCTAGGGGAAATTTTTATAGGAATTCGTCATCTTATTGCAACGTTCCCTCCGAGAGGTTGTCCACATTATTTTGGGACACTCGGTATGTTATTTTAAATCTTTTTAAGTACGATACCATTTTCTGTGTTACAAAAGTGTATTATCCAATTTTATATTTTTCCTTTAATTTTTATGAAGGATTTTTTAGGTTTACCTTTTTTCCTAACAGGTCAACGATTTTTGACTATTTTTGCTACACAAAACCATACTTCAGAAGAAATGGCAACATATTAAATATAATGTCTCAAAAATATTTTATAGGTACCAAGAATATTTTATAAATTTGAAATATTTTTTCAATTTCTAAAATCTGCAACTCTAAAAATTGAGGCAGAGGAACCAATTATTCATTATACGAGAATTAAAATACATACTATTTAAAGAATGCGTAAACATTCATAAATACCTGTAGTGCGTGCTCTTCAACGTGTCGAAGCATCCAATTTCTCATTTTAAAAGATCGTACTCTAAGCTATTAGATATCGAGACGAGGCGATTTGTGAATACACTTCCGATTTGTAAAAAAACTCGTGCATTCATAGGGAAAACAATTTCACAGCAGAATTAACAAAAACAATTGCAATACATCCTAACTTCAGAGTCCACTCATATTCCGGCATGTGGGAAATGATGACTGACCATCTAAACCTGTTGCAACATAATTCAGCTTCAGCAGTACGAGACGACCTGGCCGCTCATGACCAAAGTCCCTCAAGGGCTAGTTTGCAGCTATCCATCGTTAATTGTCGCAAATTCTTATTAAACCTGACAAAAATAACCAGAACATTCGAAATGGCCACAGCAGTGGCTTTAACTGTACACTACTTGCTATACTATACCAACAAGAATTCATGGATCGATCGTTATCGTTTAATATTGCGCTACTGGGAGGGTCGGTTTTGTAAGCATTTCCCTTCACACACAGAACTATGTCGAGCTCCATGGCGTACAAGGAATACAATCAGTCTTCCTTGCATTTTTCTGGAATAGTAGGAATGGCAGAATGCTCATATTTTGTTGGCGAAACTGGTCGGCTAAGCGTTCAGCTCCAGTGCCAACCTAGAGAAAATAGTATTTTTCTAATAGAATGATTTTATAAAAGTAATGTTATTTATTTGAAGCAAACATAAGCTGGGAGTTAAAGTTTCATTATCTTTGCTTCAAGTCCGTTTATAATACATACACAAAACATTTGTTCGATGGAGTTATTTTACCTAAATTTGTATCGTGCACGAAATACAAATTTAAGCTCAACACTGTAAAAAAAAATTGTCAAGAGGCCAGTCTGTTTTTCTAATAAATTTTGAATTTCAAGGTAGTCAAAATATCTAATAAGTGTCGTTTTTGAATGTTAAAAGAAAAACAAACAAATGCATCATGCAGATATTATAAACAATGAAACGAAATACAAATTACTTCAAATCTATTAGTAAATAAACTTGAAATAATGAGTACTCACTTAGAAAAAAAAATTAACAAGTACGATACCAATACAGCACGTTACCGTCTTATCTTTCAGCTTTCTACTTCTGTGTGGTGGTAAATCAGTTTGAATAAAGTGCTCCTCCACATGATATCGTCACATGGAGCAGTTTCGGAGGTGCAGGTATTTGGTTATTACCCAGGCGTGATCAGCGAACATAAGGCAATAAATAGACTCTTGTTCAAAAGAGGCGACAGTGAATTCAGGAACATCTTGCTTAATACATGTAAAGTTAAAAAAGATTAGTAACAGGAACACAAGGACAAAATAAGTATCGAGATTTTAAATGTCTTTTTTGTTTATTAAATCACTAATATCACTTTATTTACAGTTTTGTCAATCAATTTAAAACTAAAATCTAATTTGTACAAAAATAAAAAATAGGTAATGATACATTACAAACCAAATTGGTGATTCCCCTCCTTGGCTCTATGTAGATTTTCCAAAGGTGACTGTAATAAAAAAATCTACATAATATCACAGAATACAATTCACGATAGCCTTGAAAGAATTATACAATAATAATTCATGAGTATAAAATCAACTGTCAGTAGGAACTCTAACTTCTTTTAATTGCAACATAAAATTATCTAAACTATTATTTAATTCTTCACAGACTTTGGTGTCCCAATTTATTGAAGTATTTTTATCACAGTAGTCATTTTGAATCGCCCATGTGTACTTTAAATGCTGCCATCTTAGTCTCCTTTCTTGTTGTTTTAGACGTAATTCAGTTTCAGCCCTGGACAAGGCTTTATTCAAAACGGCCTCCATGAAGAGATTGTTTCGTTTTTTAGATTTAAAATTTAATTTCTTGACTTTAATAAGTGATATCCAGTCAGCTAATTCTGACGTTTTTAATGATTTGGACGTAGAATTTGGTTTAGCGACTACGCCCATATTGCAACAGAAACAAAATCTCTTCAAATCGATAACTTGGCAAACAAAGTGTTACTGTATTTAAAAACACACCTGGATAATACAAAAGCAGTGCAGGATTGCAGAAAACACTATATATTCTTCCTGGGTCCGTAGTAGAAGGCTTCTTCCAGGAAGTTGGTTTGTCGATAACACCACAGCACCTCAGCACTACTAACGCAAATCTCTAAAATAAATGACGCCACAAGCGGGGTGTGGTACGCTTTTATATTCACAGGGTCTGTTAATGTTGTAATCCTACGCGGAGGAAGAAAAGTAGTTCCAACTTTCTCATCGTGGAATTCTCTGCCGAGACACTTTTTGAGAAAAACTTTGATGGCATTGATGACAGATTTTTCAATATTATAATTAAAAGAAAAAAGTATCCTAGCAACTATCAAATGTTTCAATATTAGTGGAAATATTCCGCGGAGCAACGGATATTGAGCTCAATGCGTCATTTGTAAACTACGTCGTTTCCAACAGTTGCAAGTATTTTCCACCAATGTCTCGGTTTCGAGATTATAATTTGCCTAACATTTTATTTTGTTTGACTGCTTACCATTTTATGGAAAAGAGGGATACTACGATTCAATTTTATTTATTAAAAAATGATTTTGGCAAAACAAATTGACCAAGGAAATTTACATAGTACTTAGTAAATTATTTATTTATTTACTTACCGTAAAATAATTATGTGTGTAAACACTCATTTTTTAAAGGATAAGCTGGAGTTTAGTAAATTAGAAATAAAAAGACATCTAAAAAAGTACATAATAGTAGATATAAGCCCGTAACTTCTTTATTTTTTGGTCGATTTCAAACATTTTTATTTTGGAATGTGGGCTAAAAAAAACTCTATCTAATCGTGATATTGCTGTTTTTATTAATGCAATTCACGGCCAACAAGGAAGTGTTTTCTTGACATCAAAACAGCTGAATGGTATTAGCGATATTTTTCCAAAAAACAGATTATGATGTCGCGAAATGTAATACAAGCCTGTAACTTCTTTATTTTGGTCGATTTCAAAAATTTTTTTTACGGTATGTAGGGTAAAAAAAACTATATAACTGTTATAATGCTGTTTTTTATTAATACAATATACGGCCAACTAGTACTCGTCTGAAGATGTATCGAATTTGATGAAACTTGGTGATTAGACATTTTAAGGAATGCTGAATGAGAATACGTAATCGTAATTGAAAAAAATCGCTAATATCAATTAGCTTTTTTGACATAAAAAAAACTCGTCTTAGTTGGCCGTGAATTGCATTAATACAAACAGCAGCATTACAGTTAGATAGAGTTTTTTTATCCTACATTAAAAAAATAAATAAATCGGTTAAAAAATAAAGAAGCTACGGGCTTGTATCACATTTAAGCGCGACACCCTTTATAAATATATTATAAACAAAAAATGAGACAGAAAATATACAGAAGTAACATATATCAAATTAACATTAAAACAAAACACATAATAATTCTTACATCATGAATATGAGGATGGAAAATATGAAAAAGATAAAGTAATTCAATGTTTGGGATGTAAGGAATACATTTTATTTTTAATGAGAACGCTTTAGCATATCCAGACATATACATATGCACAAATAAGTAAACAAAATCTGTAGATATGCTTTATGTAAATATATTGATATATTTAGATAAAAATCTAGATAGTGTGCCCAATCAAAACATCGCTTAAACCGATGATTGAGATAACAAATTCTTGTTACCTATATTAGTATCTATTAGTACAAACAAAAACTTTAGTAGTAACAGTAATAGTAGCTTCGGTAGTATTGCATTGTTTTCTTTTTGCAATGAGTAGTGTATTTGTCAATTATCTACCTACATTTTTGTAAACTTAATGCAAATGAGTTTATTTTTATATTTTATATTGGTCCTACCTGTCATTGTTATATTAAAATAAATAAAACAAATCCAAAATGAAAAAGCATTTTTTTTATTATTAGGAAAGGATTTGTTACTTTATTTCTCTTTAAATGTATCGAGTTAATTCAAATATACAAATTTTTGCTAGAATTCTTATTGAATGGGAAATATATTTGCAATAAAAATATGAAAAACCTCCCATATTGAAATCATCAGGTAATGTTTTGCGAAGAACACAATAGACAATGATGAACCTGTTTCTACAATTTACACGGATTGCTTTTTAGGTAAATATCAAATTATGTTATTCGGGGATGTTTAAATACAATTATTGTGATATTTATTTACCATATTTTCACTGTCCATTTGTTCTAAAATGAGAAAATTCACAGCATTTGTATCAATTCAATTATTTTTATTTACTTATGTTCACCAACATATCAATTACATTTCTGTATTTATAAATACACCGCTGGTGGAATACGTATCTGACTTTCTGACGACATCTGGGTTTGGAGTCTAGAGAATTCCCAATGTATAGATGATACTTGGAAATATTGACTAAATGTTGGTGGGTATACATACAAAAAGGTTTTTATCATTAGTGTGTGATACGAAAAGGGTTAAAATGAAACAAAAACACCTATGTACACTGAATAATAGGTAGATTTTTTTATTCATAGCTACATTAACAAAGTATAAGAAATAAGTACAGTTTCAATATTAATAATATTATTACTTTTTCAAGTTGAAGCCTGGTTTATAATAGCCCTCTGTAATAGAAAATAAATATATTATTTTCCCTTAAAAAAAACACTTATTCCACTTTAATTGGTTGCAAAAAGTGGAAAATATTTAGGATAGGAATGACATGAGTACCTACAATAAAATAAATATTGTAGTAGCTGTCCATACTTTAAAATTTATATTTGTTATACATATAAGATAGGTACATAAATACATCTCAAGTTTTTATATTTGATATTCTAGAATTTCTAGATAAACAAGGCGTCAATAAAACTGCATTTGCGCCTTTGAGGCTAGGGTGTGCCACATTGGTAAAAGTCTATTTAATATAGAATAATTTTTAGGAATAACTTTATAAACAATTTTGTGTTCAACAGCTTTTTGAATAAATATTCTTTTTTGTAACGTATGTATGTATTTTTATGATGAAATATTTGAGAAATATTTCCTATCTTATCATTTCTATGATTTCTCTAGCGAGAATTTACGGTATTTATTAGCAAATAAATTTAACTTAAACATAATTTAATAAAGAAACATATGTATATGTACATACGTGTAGTACAAGATAAATATTTGTGTACAATCACATTACCATTAACTTTTACAATTTCTAGAAACAATGAATTGAAAGTAATAAACACTGGATTATCGACCTCCAATATCATTTACAAAACATTCTTTAAGGATTATAATTACAAAACAACTATTTTAATTTTGTTGAAATTACTGTGATCAAATATAATGTACATATACTAAACTAGATAAGGATTCATGACATTATGATGATAATTAGTAGGTACTGTAATCAAAGTAGTCTCATTAGATTCTTAGAATTTTTTGAGTGGTATTTACATTGAACGTTGTAAGGTCAGGTAACAATGGTTTGCACTTTAGTGCAAACCATTGTTATGCTAGTGTCCAAATTTTATTTATTTTATAGAATAGTTGCCATTGTTAAAAATTCTTGCCTATATTCAAATGAACAAAAATGTAGTTTTAAGTGAACAAACATATAATATTCGATTTTATTTTTAGAATTTAGCAATACCAGTTAAATAATTATTTGAATTAACGTGAAACTGAATAAAACATGTTTTCTGTATCTGTTTCGTTTAATATATCAAATATCGAAAAATCTTCATTAGCAAAAGTTGTTTCGAATTCTTTGTGCTCATGTATTTTGAAACAATTGGCCTACTGTAATTTTTTTAAGTTTCTGCATCATAAAGCGGTCCTTTTTGTGTAAAATATCGGAAAAAATATGAAAAGCTGTTTAGAATAAAATTTTTGTTTCGATTTTGCAGTAATTGATTTGTCACGTAAAAAATACTTTGCCTCTCCTCAACTCTTTACATAAAATATTTTCATGAGAATCCATCAAGGAAAACATGGAAGTTATTCCCAGCTGTCTGAATCATATGGACTGCTAGACATGCTACGTATATAAAAATTGTTGTTTACCTTGACAGGAGAAAGGGCATGGGTAGCTTGCAATCCCAGACTTCTCAGAAGCACCAGGGGTGTAAAGTCGGAATTGTACAGCCTGTGGAGTCCTTCAACTGCCAGCATGGTCGGTATATTGTGCCTTTGCCTCTCCGTTTCGTATTCTTTCAGGTAGCTAAGATTATCTGAAGGACGAAGAGAGAATTCTTTGTTAGTACAGATGGTTTTCAATGAGGCAAACCCCTTAGGGTTCAAGCAATGTATTATTCATAATAATAAAAGCTTCTATACTTCAAGAGTATTCTTGAAGAGACAATTACTGATTATTAATTTTTTTATACCGATAGGAACTACCACATGGTTCTAATAGTGCTTTCAAAAAGAGGTAACGTAGAAAATTATTTTTGTTTTCTAGAAAAAACTAAAATATATAATACTTAGCTCTTTTGGTATTTATGTATTGCTTTCAAACTTTGTCGATAAATTATACCAATTAATGCAAGAAAAGGACATATTCAGAGAGAGTATGCATTATTTCATTAGCCTCAAAGGTATTAAATAATGGCATTAATGATTTTACTGGACTTTTTTTTTCATCTCTCAGATATTTCCTATTCGTTTCAGTTTGAAATCGTGTATATTTAATATTTCGTTGCAACTGGAATGTAACAATAAAACTACCCCTAATTAATAATGCATACAAGAAGTTATGTTTACTGATGTAAATATTAATAATAATGTATATTTTATGTGATTATTTTAGAAACATTTTTATAGTCCAGGGAACGAAGTGGAAAATAGGGTGAAACCTCCGAATATTTTCGGATAGATTTGATTTTTTATGAAAATTTGGAATTAAGCTTATTTCACCCTGTAGATGAAAAGTTATGTATGCTTGATATGCGCTTCTTATTTTTAGTGGTTTATAGCGCATATATTATAGATAGAAATCTTTTCAATAGTTTATGGTATTATAAATAATTTATTACAATATTTCAACCTTTAAAAAAACTACCCCTAATAATGAAATATTAATAAAATAGTTTTTAACAGTTTGAAATGATTTGATAGTACAAACACGATAAATTCAATTCTTTTACCTGTTTATAATACCATTTATAATTTATCGCATTGTTTTGACACTTAAAAACCACCCCAATGATAAAATAATAATCCAATAAACAATGTAAAATAAAAATTATTTTCGTAATAACTTTCTTTCTCGCGATTTACTTTAATTTATGCAAAATAATTATTTCTCAATATTTTTTTCATGCAGTCATAATTTCAACTTTTCCTGTATCTATGAATGCTCCAAAGTTGTGGATAACCAAAATATTGATATGCTCCGAAAATTGAAGCGATAAGGTACCGTTGGTTTTTTAACGATAACTTCCTTAATATTAAAGCTATTAAGACGATCCACAAACGATTTTACGGAAAATTTCGATAGCTAAAAGTACTGTAAAATTGAATATTCTTTAACGCGTTATTTTTGAGATTTCAGAGATTAAAGGGGTTGAAAAACATGACATTTGCCTTCACCTGGAAATATCTAGCAGCATCATCGGTGTTAATTTTTATCTTACACAAATAAAAAAAAACAAAATATTATGTGAAGAAAAATCTAAACTTTTGAACTCTTGAATATTTTTCGTATCTTTTTTATTTTTATAGTTATTTTCAAGAATATGTAATTTTTTTGGAATTAAAAAAATTGTTTTTCAATGAAAACGTAATAGGTATTTTCAAAAATATGCATTCTAAGCCGCTTAAACTTGTAGGTATTATATGTATATTGTTAGCACATAAAAAAATGAAATTGTAAGATTACTTTTAATTTTAAATTTCGTGAAAAATTCATCAGTTTTTGTACTGATTTTTTTTCCCGAAAAAGCGAATGAACAATTTATTTTGATCATAACTCTGTTAATTTTTTATGCTAATGACTTACAGTCAAGTTAAAAGATTTTTTTAAGTACTTTAAAAAATGATCTGTGCATTTATCTTGACAAATCCAATTTGCCAATTTAGTTTCTGGCGGAGTATGAAATTATCTTCAACCAACCGTATCTCAGCACCTATTACACCTAAATAAATAAAAAAAAATAATTTTTTTCTCTTTCTATAAGCTTCATTTTTTTTGAGGTGTTTTTTTCACAGAATGTCTATTTTCCGAGTTATTCGAGAAAAACTATCGAAAAGCGTCTTTTTTAAATAAAAAATGTACATTTTCAATCACCAATGACTCAGAAAATATTGACTTATCGAAGAATGTTCATAAGTTACTTTTTGCTTAAAATTGATTGCTTTATCGATTCCCTTTATTTTCAATATTTTATTTTTCACCTCCTAGAAGGGGTGGCTTCCACTCCCTGGTTAAAAGCGCTCAGCAGCACTATATAACTTTTGTTTCTTGAGCTATTTTCTACTTACAGTCCAAGTTTTACGTCAATCGGTTCTATTCGAAAGAATTCGTAGGGGAAACCCTTAGTTCCCTGGACTATAATAATGACAGCCACGGAAGCCTACAAACAAAATTTTTGATGACTTCAATATGTTTCCTCATATAATTTATATTTTAGCGCCAGTTAAAGCAATTAAATATGCAATACTACGAAATATTATTTACTTATTTTACTATTAGGTACCTAACTCCTACTAAATAACAGCACATTAAAATAAAAAACGTATTTTAAAACCAAGTCTAATCCACTTACTTAGTCTACTGCCAGAATACACAGCATTTCCTAGAACTTCGTTTAAACAGGTAATATCTCCGAATCCCAAATTAACCCCTTGTCCAGCCAGAGGATGTATTCTGTGTGCAGCATCTCTGCAATAATTATTATTTAATTTGCCATAACCCTTATTTATATTATATTTACTATTTAGGTCATTTAGAAACATAAAACTTTATGATTGTAGGTACCTCACAAATGACTAAATCAAAATGATATTATTTTTTAAATATGTACCCCAATATTTTATGTCTTTTGATGCAATTTTAAGTTTCAATGATGCGAAAACAGAACTTATGCAATAGAAATGCTTATGAAGAATCCGCAGATTATTTATTAGATTAATTTGTTTTCAATTAATCTATTATTATTTTTTTTAAATATTACAGATCATTTCGTTTTGGAGCTCATAGAGTCGATAAATCATTGACGCAAAAAGGTAAAGTGACCATATCAAAATTTCAAACACAATCTTAAATTCGCAAATCACAGAAGTTATAAATAATAAAATAAATGCATGCATCTTTATGTGAAAAATTCTGTTTTAATGTATTTAAAGATAGGTAATAGGTAGTGGCGAAAATTTAAAATTTGGGCTACCAACAAAATTCAATTAGAGGCCCTTTCACTGCATTTTACTGTAGTAAGGAGCATAGTCCCACAAAAATGCGAAATTTTCACGCCCGATTTTTTCTAATTATGTATGAATTTCGCATTCCTAACATTGTAATTAATTTTTTTTGGAATTTTATTTAAAATTGCATTTCTAATAAAATTGACTTTTTGGCAAGGACAGCTCTACAGTTATTTTATTTGTTTAACTAAGCAGTAAAGTAAAGATTTAATCTACTTTACTGCCCAGTTAAACATAATTTTTTAGCCGATCAATTTTAATTTAGGTACACAGTAATCGCCATATTGTTCCTATTTAAATCCATGAAAATACGTATTTATGATTTGGGACGGAAGAATTCACATTAACTCCGCCAGAAATGATTGAATCAGCAAAGCAGATACAGCGTAATTTATTACCAGAAACATGGAAGGAGATATATCAGGAAACATAAAAAATTTAATCATTACCTGGCTGAGAATAAGATATTTCTTTACTATTGGTAGGTATATTTTTCTGATTTATGCAAAAGTATGAAGTTTTCATTATAGTCAATATGATGATCAGAATTACTTTGAATCTATCTAAAATTAAAAGCATTCTTTAAACTGTAACTGGAAGGATATCGTGCGTAATGATTCGCATTTAGGTACAAAGGTAATTATAAACAAAATATTTGTTTTTTGTAAACGAAGAATACTGACTATTATCATTTTAGATGGCAATGATTTTTGCACATCTGAACTATGAACTTATCCGTTGTGGAATACATTTCCTATTTACATATATGCTAACGAAAACTCTCGTTGTATATCAGAAGGAGAGGCAGTTTTTAACGCTCATCATGTGGTATTATATGGGAAAATTGGGCAAAGTTAATTTAAATTTAGAAATTTATATTGTGTCTGCAAACTAGTGCCTTTACTTACTAACAACCCTCATGAAATTCAGGGAGTATTATCTATCGGCAATAATATTTTGAAAATTTCTTCAATGGTTTGATGAAAACTTAATTCTGTATTTTTCTTGGATCATGAAGAGCAACATTGAACTGAACAATAATAGTTTGACAGTTTCTTCTTTGTATCCATAATTGCTGAAGTTTTCCTCACACTATTTTCTTAAAATAACAGTGTTCAAAAAACGAACACTAGACACAGTTTTAAATAAAATACAAAACGAAATGTCACACAGAAGAAATGTTTACCTTGTTTCGCTAGTATCACTTGTCACCGCCAGAGGGCGAGCTCTTAGCTGCATTCGCGAACCCCTGGCGCCCCCCTGTGAGCTACACCAAAATTAGTCTGAAATTACTGTTTATTATATCCAGAATCGTAAAAGTGACAATTTTTAAGTTGATAATGCGAAAATTTTTAAAAAATATTAAGAAATTTCAAAATAATTTAATTTTGAACCCCCTGTATCTCTTAAATCGTCAATATTATTTAAGGTATATTTGGCCCAATCGTTAGATTGTAGTCTCTAGTATTTCCAGATCCGAATTTTGCTATTCATAATGACTCACCCCGTATAAATACAGTTCTCTACATTTTAGAGTCTAAAACTAAACACTTTCCGTCAGCATTTGAGGCCAGCGAAATTTTTTATGTTCAAATTCACAACCCTCAACCCTTCACACTCCTTTATCCTGAAAAGTTTTGTTTTTGTATCATACACCTATTAGAAGTATTAAATTATTAATGTGGAGTGGAGTTAGGAGACTACGGCCCCCCTAGTAGCCTGGGTCCCCCCCGCACTGCCTCCTCTTATTGCATGACAGTTCCGCCACTGTCTGTGTGTAGTAATACTTTAATTTCCACCACTCGATCATCTAACACTTTACACGTGCGCTGTATCTCACGTTTGCGCATTGGAAACACAAAATGAAAATTGTTGAGCTGTACAATAACGAAATCTTGCTCCAATAGGCAGGCTCGCCTATTTTTGTATTTAATTGCATTCACTTGAATATGCAATAATAGCGTGGCGTATAAAAACAATGATGCAACAAAAATTAGTCATATCAAATTTAAGACAATAGTTTGAAATAAACAGTTGGAAATTTCCAATTGATGCGAGGCTACGAAACGCACCTGCGCTCGAGGCTAGGGTTCCTGACGTTTGTTACTAGACGGAATGTTTTGTTGGTTAGCGCGTCAACTGTCGACATCGACATTTATTATAGTCTACGCCGCAGTTGGTTGGTTTATCGAAGCAACAAGCGATATGCCGGCAAGAAAGTGGTGTTTTATACCAAAATGTACTAATACGTCTGTTAAAACCCCTTCGAAAATTTTTGTGACCGTCCCGGTAGCCCCGAAAAGACGAGAAAACTGGTTTGCAGCGGCTAGGAGAAATGTCACAGAAGTATCTCCAACATCGGCTGTGTACTGCTGTGAGGATCATTTTGATGTAAGTTTTATTTCATAAAAAACATAAATAATATAATACATTTGAATTTAGCTAGAAAAAGATATGGAAAATTATATGGAGTATAAATGGAGCAATGTCAAAGCCCGTATGAAACGGGATATTGTGCCGCATAAATTTGTTTGCGAACCTGATGGGAATTTGTTAGGCAAAACGAGACAGCGGATTTTGGAACAAGTACAAGAAGATGCGACAGAATCTTGCCCCTCATTTACTGTTCCCGAAACTTGTGAAAAAGGATGCCAAACAGGACCTATACGTTTTAGTAGTAAATATGTGCAAACAGTCCCAAAATTAGAAAAAAGGAACGCTGCAATATCACCTATAAAATTTCAAACGGCTAAAGAGCAGTCGTCAAAGCCCACCAGAACAAGATTACGACTTAAAAGTGAACATTCAGATTTTAGTAGCGCCTAAACGGACATTTATTTAGGGGCCGTAATTAAAAGTATATACAGGGTGTCCGACAGAGTTAAAATATCGCTGTACCACAGATTTGTCTTGGAACCAGTTTAGAGACTTTATGTTTTATAAACATGTTTCTTATTTTTATGTATACATATAATGGATTCCTCAAAATATAAAGAAATTCTTGAAAATCCTGTATTTTTTATTACACCTGTTTTACTCATAATCCATAGTCCATACAGAAACTCATTGGTAAATATGAAATATCAAACAAACATAACTGAAAGTAGGAATAACACATTATTGTCTAGTTGTTACGATCTCAATTGGAACCGCATAAAAAAACATTTTACTCATAAATTCTACGGAATCTATAAACGTCCAGAAAACTTTAGCCCTGTCTCGTCTGGATATACTATATTCCGAACTATATTACCATATGTATAATTACCATACGATTGTCAAGCTTTTTATGTTTAAAATCGCACTGTAATAAAGCATGTCGTAAAATATCTAAAGAAAGATTTATAATTATAATCAGGATAATCGCTTAATTTATCTCGAGTCATGTTTAAAGTAGGAACTTTATTTTCTTTATACATATTATAAATTGTGCGCCGCATTACATCTGGTAAAATTGTCAATTTCCTTTAATTTTGTATTTTTCCGTTTCCTATTTGTACCGTGATCAATCCTTCTTTAATTACGCGATAAATTGTCGTTTTTGATATCTTAGTTAATTCGTTAATACGTTTCCTAACTTTTTTAAACTTTTTTATTACATTGTTCACTATTTTCAATTCTCAAACATTCATATATATTTAATATAATACGTTGACTTTTTACGTGTAAATCTTTGTTTTAAACTCTGAGTTCGTTTCGATACTTTCGACAAAAACTGGTTCCACTATTTGGAGATTTTCCCGAGTTATTTCGTTATCCTCCGCTTCAAAAAGTCTCCAGAGAGCCACGCTAAATTACTGGATAATTACATATAACATTAATTTTAATAACTATTACCCTTTACTGGTTACAATATAAACAAATAATAATATCAACTAATAAATAATAAACGTATTGTACCAACAACATACCCCGCCAAGCAATGCTCTGCAGTCTGCACTGCACTGGCAAAGCTAAGTGAACCCGTGTATCATACAAAAAAATTATTTACGACATAGTGGACCAATACAGGTTTGCTTTGATGACCAGCGCGCCGCCGTCAATTCTACATCAGGCGGACTAGTTTATCAATACCGGACTCGCTGAATTGCTATTCGAGTATAAATTACGAGACACATCATAGTCATAGGAAGAAATTTCAGGAGAAGTGCTTACGGTCCTGTGCTTTTAGATTTACAGGTTCCAATTGACAACGTAACAACTATAACTTAGAATTGTAAATCTAAAAGATCGGTAACATTTTCACTAACGTTGACTTACCCAAAATATACATATATCTATTTATATATTGACCTCGAACTTTTTTTAATTACAATTTAAGCATGCGTGTTTCTTATATGACGAAATCAGAGATAACTTTAATTGGAATCATTTTTACGATAAAGAAAAATCTAACCTGGTAAGTNAGTATAAATTACGAGACAGATCATGGTCAAAGCATAGGAAGAAATTTCAGGAGAAGTGCATACGGTCCTGTGCTTTAAGATTTACAGGTTCCAACTGACAACGTAACAACTATAACTTAGAATTGTAAATCTAAAAGATCGGTAACATTTTCACTAACGTTGACTTACCCAAAATATACATATATCTATTTATATATTGTCTTCGAACTTTTTTTAATTACAATTTAAGCATGCGTGTTTCTTATATGACGAAATCAGAGATAACTTTAATTGGAATCATTTTTACGATACAGAAAAATCTAACTTGGTAAGTTAACTAAATCATCTTATTTTCGACGCAGGAATCTGTGGAAGAGCGATGCCCTAACCTGTTTGTACATTCCATGTACATTTCTTTTTCTATACTGTTATTTTTCTATTCCAAATTTCAGTACCTATGAGATACATAGATACATTGTATTTATTCTTTTCATGCAAATAGTGAAAATGATTTTGACATTTCGTATGCAGTACACAATATATTCATTTAAATTGCAATCTTAATTAGTGTGACTTATTTCGTGGTTATAATTATAATTTAATTAGAATTGTTTCTATAAAAAGCAACAAATTTACAAATTTTATTCCATGTAGGTACCTCTGAAGTACTAAACCACGACACATTAATAATAATTGTGGTAAACACATTCTACACATGCAATATTTACATATTCTTAATTAGGTACGTATCGTTTAACTGAAACAGCTATATTTGTTTACATTTTAATGTCACGTTATGGAAAAGCACATAAAAAATAGTGTTAATTTTCACCGTAAAATATTAGTAACGACACACGTTATTGTGTCTTATTTAGATATCAAAGTTGATACATACTTTCGTGTTTCTTAAAATAAATATGTTGTAAATAAAACTATATACCACATATTTCATTAAAGGAAGAATCTAAGTATCTGAAATTATTAATAGGGAGAAAAGTTGGGAAGTTGGCGCAGCCTTCTTTTCCAATAGAAAATCAGTAATTTAAAGTGTAAATCTTATGCTTCAAATATTCTTTTCTTAAGTGTGAATGTGTTGTTTGGAACATTTAAAAAAATTAATGAAAAATAACTAGACAACCCTGTAAATGCATGGTTGGAAAATCAATAGAAAGATGTTGCAGAAAATTTTCATCTAAAAGTGCTCTTTCCCTTTTTGAAAATGTATTACTTTTATTTGATTGACAATAATTTATCCCTCACTGTTAAGCATACCTTCTTTGCAAATGGAAATTTAAGATTTTTTTATCATTCTCTACATGGTTCTAATCAAGTTTTTTCTAATTATCGTGGTTTTGTACCACTGAATGAAGGTTTGGGTTGGGATAAAGATTTAGGAAAGATCAGGGACAACCAAGATATTTTATTTTTTTTAATTTAAATTAGTGCAATGGTGAATAAGGGAAAAGATTTTCGACTGTCTTTCTAAACGCACCTTTTTCACTAGTCCCAATTTTACTTTTAATTAGACACAACCAATCAAAAGACTTTTCATTTTTACTCAAATATATTGATGGTATCGTTAACATCACAGAATAACACCCCTTTACAATTAGCTTGACACCACTGCTTTGTTTTTGCCTTTGATTGGAAAGTGATGTAATTTTCCTATTACTTTTAAGCTTTAGAATCTGTATTTTAAAGGTTGTAGTGATAAAAAATAGAAAAAACAAGTACATACTGTTAAATTACGGAAAAATTTAAAAATGTCTCAAGTGATTAAAATTGTTCTTAAAGCAAATAATTTATTATGTTAAAAACTTTCCCCCACGCACAAAGTAACTTTTGTAGGGTCACCTTTTTATCAAAAACTGTTGTAAAACATTTACTGTAAATAAATATTATTATTATTTAAGTACATATTAAGGACTGTAATGGTATTTAGAATTTCTAGTCACTCATGCCCGTATGTTCCTGTGGGAATGGCACCTTCTTGCATGGAAGGTCCTGTGGCGCAACGGATAACGCGTCTGACTACGGATCAGAAGATTCCAGGTTCGAATCCTGGCAGGATCGACAAAACTTTTTATATTTTATTTTACTTTGGTTTAAATTGGGCTTGTCCTATTATTTTTCACGAGCAATTTTACATAATCAATATGTCGTGTGAAAATAGTAATGACAAATAAAAGAATTTTCGTCAATAGATGAACTAAAAACAATTAATGTCAAAATTTCAAAATTAAAAAAGAAAATTTCGTTATATAAATTTTATTTGTTAACTGACATGCAGTTTATACAAAGGGGTGAGACAAATTTAACGTTAAAAGTGAGCGTACGCGATAGTATTTTTGAAAATATAAATAGGATTTTTCGTATCAACATTTTTGCAAAAATGTCATTTCGAAATTTAGGGTGACAATTCAGAAAAATATTTAAAATTTTTCCAACAACTTCAAATTTGCAAATAATTGCATTGTTTTCTTCTTTCTTTAAAAAAGTAGTTCAAACAAGAAATTGGTATGATGGGAAAACTGCTTTGTTTGGTCAATTAAGGACTTGATATTAACTCAGCTTGTCCATTTAAGATATATCCCAAACTTAATTTTATTAACTTGGTTAGTTTGGAAAATATAAAAATACTAGCTCTTTTTTAAAACTTTATCGCTTAGTATTTCCAAGAGGAAGCATTTTTGGAAAAATGTATTTATTTTCAAAAGTGCCATCGTATACTCCTTGTTTTGACATTAAATTTGACTCACCCTGTAGTTTTTCCAGCGTCAAACTTGACTTTATTGGACGCTAGCTCTATTACGAACTACTGACGATAAAGTCTCTTTATAGATGTTTTCATTTGTATGTCACTAGGTAATTTAGTTTGAGATATCAAAGCAACATTTTGCGTCAAATTGACAACTGCTGTTACATTACATGTCAAAATTTATGACTGTAAACTGGTGCCGTATAAAATTTCGTATCTCACAGGAGTAATTAATAACCGCTTGTGACAAGTGGTCATTCTTCACTTCCATACCAGGAAGGGCAGAAAAATTTAAATGCAAAGTACTGAAAAAAAAAATATAATTGGGCAGTTTTATTTTAAGTACTATTTAAATATAGGGAAAATGTGTTCAACATTATTTTTTATAGTGCAACTTTTCAATTACTTTTCCATTAAAGTTTGGTATTTCTTGCACCATTGATTTTTCAATAGACAGCATTATTCCTGTTAGTCTGTATTTACAATCAATTTAAACTTTTACAATCTTTTAAAAAACACAGAAGAAGCAATACGTAAGTAACAAAATTTTAAATTATTATTATTACGGTCGGACTAAACAGTGCCCAAATTGCACCACTTCCACTCCGTCTTTCATTGCTGCGCGATGGTAACCATGACCACCGTTGTAAACACTTTACAGATGTTGGAGCGAGCTGTGCGGAGCCCACGTATTCAGCGTTTTTCAAACGAATTTTGCAAATCGAGTTAAATTGTCTGCACATTACAAATTTAACATTAACTTTTTAATGTGTTTCAGTGTTTTAATCTATTTAATTATCCAGAAAATATTGTGAACTAAATTTTTTTACTAT